GCCCCGCCATTTAGTTTACCTTAGTTCTAAATCGAGAATGTCGCATGCCATTGACTTTTTTACAATATTAGCTATAGGTAATCGATGTCTTTCAGATCTCACATTCCCTTAAACATTATACTGCATCTTCATCTACATGGTAAATTCATACATATATATTTAGGTACATATGTACTTTGATTCGAAGGTGCACTTTTTTCTGATACGGTCTAATGTATATACATATGGATGTATGTACACTTATCCATTGGAGAATGGCGGTGACGCACTTAAACAAACTAAATACATATTCGTTTTAAATTATGTTATAGTTTTATGGCTGAGTTGAAGCAAAAACTAGTTCTCGATATTCTGAATAACCCAGCGGAAAATTGTGACCGCAAGCACTCTTATTTATTAATTGTGTATACTTACAGTGGCAGTCAAAAGTGGATAAAAGATGTTTCGTTTTTAATATTTACAATGTCAAACTAAACTTTTTTTTATATTTTTTTATAAAAATATGGTTCATGCTTTAACAAAAACCATATAAATGCATAAAATAAGTGCAAGTTTTGAGCGGCTAAAAACTTGCATTGATTTTTAATATTTTTTTTTCGATGGCGTTTTGCATTTTCTACAAAATTTTATAATCCTGTTAACTGCATGCCCAAAAAGTTTATAAAAATGCTGTTTAAAAAGATGGAAATTTAGATAAATATCTGTGCAATTTTAATAAATTCTGTATCAAGTTATATGGTTTTCGTTAAAGCATGAACCATATTTTTATAAAAATATATAAAAAAAAAATTATTTTAAAAAACATTGAAAATATACGAAACGCCATTCAAAATCTTTTGACCGCCACTGTGCATACATATATATGTATGTATGTGTGCGTATATTTGTAGTGCTAGGGGGAATTCCCTAACCAACTGACAAAAAACCCCAGCAAACGAAGATTGCATATGATTAAGCCCAATTGATTTTGGAGCAAAAGAATATGGAATGTTTCAATGCCGTTTTGCGTGCATACATAAACACATACATACATATCGAGCCTTAACCGACAAAAAGATGTAAGCGACATTTTTTCCAAAATTTTCGTTTTGACGCTGGAATGTTCCTAGGCTGTCTATGTATGTATGTAGTAGATGTATTTCTGTATCAAAATTAAATTTTTGAGAAAAATGTCGCTTACGTCTTTTTTGGCGGTTAGGGCTCGATATGTATGTATGTAAATGCATTCATACCCTCGTTTGTTTCTTCTTTATTACTTAGTAGGAGGATCCCTGCAGGAAATGGGACTAGTTTGTAGCTAACTATCAAATAACTAGCCGTCGACTAGTGATAACTATTTATTAACTATTTCCTTTGGCCGCAAAATAGTGAGAACTGGCTTTATCTGCATTGGATGTCAACTAAAGATTTTTTTTAATTATTAATTTTTTTATTTATTTACTTACTTATTTCATTTAACATTACTGCTTATTTGTTTACATGTTCTTTTGTAGGTGGTCTCATATTCGAGTTCAATCAGACATAACATCAAAATGATAATATAAAATTTCGACCTTTATTTTATTTGTCCTGAAGCCGAAAAAGAATCTCCGAAGTGCAGAAAAAAAGTGTATTGAGAGTAATTTTTGTATGAGGATATATAAATAGAAATTTGTAAAGAAAACAAGCTCCCGATAACGTCTGCATGACTCCTGCACGACTTTACAACTTAAGTTAGTTTTGTCATAGCTAATTAACAATTAGTTATTTATCGAAATTCCGCAAAAAAGCTAACTAGAAGTTTATCATCCTAATCAACTGATAATTTTTTTTCTACAGGGATATGCAAAGAATCAAACTGCGTTCGTGCATATATTAAGACAAGCTACCGCTGAGTAATGACCCATAACTTTCGTTGTATTCGGAAGAACAACTGCTACGATGGGGAATCTCACGAAGCTGCAGAAAAAAAAGATGCCGCCACAGGGCTACGCTGCAATCGGGTAAAAGGAGCCTGAGATGATGAAGAACATTTTTTCACAAAGCTAGGTGACTTATGGATACGGTGACCATTCGTATCGATTTTGACGGGACAGTACCGATTTTGAGAAAATTGTCCCGCCGATTTTTCATATTTATACCGATTAAGTACCGATTTTCAGTGTATTCTTTATTAATTTAATAAGAGTCTCCCTGTACTCTTGTCCAAAAAAAATTTTTCGTACAAACGTGGCAGCTCTTTTGTTATCACAAAGGACGTAGAATGTAAGGGAGTCATAAAATAGCCTAATTTTCTATGATCTTTGTTTACGTTTTATTCTGCAAATTCTTCTTTACATTTTTTTTAAGGTTTTTTAACCGATTTCAAAAAAGGAGGTTACCAATTCGTCGGAATATGTATTCTTTTTTTTTAAGTATGTTACCGCATAATTTTAGGCATAATTGGTACCTCAGGTCCGATAATTGAATCATTAAGAAATTAACGGTACACTTAAATTTTTATATGAGAATTGAAGTCGGTTTGGTTTTTTGCTTAAAAATTACTTGTATAATTATCTGTTAAGTTCTTTTGTTTTTTTTTATGAAATGATTCTAACTTGAAATTTTAAAAAATAAAAAAAATACTTCCCTCATAAAAAAACCGTGGATATGAAAAATATAAGTTGTAAATACAACTTACATTTTAGCATTCTTTGGCGATTATTTAAAGTTTATTATTTTTTATGAAAGTATAGCTCGTTATCAAACAAAGACCATGTAAGTTAAAATTTTAAACTTTGTACAAAAATAAGCAAAATTCCACAGAGTTTCATCAAAATTTTGAGCTCTTTAATTAGATTTCTTAGAAACATTCTGAGTATGCGGTTTTGCAACCCATTCAATTCAAAGTGCAAATTTTAAGTAGCTAAAATTTTTGATTTGATTGATTTTTAGTAAATTTTTATTTTTTTTTTTTGTGAAGGTGTTGCTAATTTTATTTTTGACATTTTTTCACAGCGCCAATCAAGAAGAAGAATGGTTGTCGCCTACTGTCGCCTTTCACATTTTTCCTCATATCTTCGACATTTACAGTCGAATCTCAAACTATGATATATCGATGTTCCTGTCTCGAGAAGACTATTTTTTTGCTCCAAAATTAATTTACCTCCAGTACGCCGTTACGTACGCAGTTAACTATAAACAAAGTATGTATGTCAAATAATATCTTCATACTGGGTTTTAATGAATCTGACATAGGCAATGGGTTAACGTGGCGTATACGCAATAGCATATGGAGACATCGATAGAATCTGGTTAGTTTTTTATTCACCCCAAAAATGAAGTTCACAGCAATTCAAGCAAAGCAAATACATTTTTGCGAAAATAAAATTTGAAAATTAGCGCTTTAACAATTTTTACAGCTATTTTCATGGAAAATTAAGGCCGAACAGAAGAATATGTCGTAAGTTCATTATTTGGAATTCATTTATTCAAAAAAAACTGGAAACAAAACGAGGAAAGTAAAACGCAGAACACCGAATGCCGGATTCAAATCGAATTCGATTTAAATGCACTCGAAAGTGAATTGCTATGCCTGCTTACATTTGGCTAACCGATTTTAATACATGTTTAACTCACTATGTACATTAGGGTGCATCACTTTCCATATAAATAATAATGGCTTTTCCATCGAAATTACATTTGAAATGTATTATATTTTAGGACTTGCGCCAAAAAAATGCAGAAAAATATTAATTAATAGTAATTTAAAAATATCTCAAAAAATCCAGTTTTGACAAGCTTTTATTTAACCTGCTCTGAGATATACTGAGCTTCACAGTTGGTCCAGAATCCGATGACAATGCAATCTGAAAGATGAGTGAATCCGATAGATAGTGCAGGAGTCGAGATATTTGAAAATCCCGTATTTATAGTCCGATTTGGTTCATATTTAGAACGTATATTAACTATATGAAAAGGAATAACTTCACTAAAGCTTGCTTTAAAAATATTTCTTTTTACTATTAACTTCTTTATAAATAAAGTAAGTTTGTAAAAATATATTTTCCAAAAAAATGTTGTATGCGGTTTACATTCCACAACAAAAAAGTATGTAAATTAGAATATTAATTACCTATTCCCAAGAGCTATTTGTTTTAATGTCGACTAGGGGATTTTGTTGAACGATCACAGATTTGTGTATAGAAATATGTATACATTAGGGTGATCCAAAAATGCATGTGAAAAAGTAAAGTCGTTATTTTTAAGCTCTCACCCCCTAGGATTGTTCTATACCGAAAAAAGTATACCTCCTTGTTTTTATTTTGAATAAAAATATAATTAAAGGTCGCGCAAAGCGCTCAAAACGCTCAAAGCTTTTCATATATTTTTATTTGAAGAGAAAACAACTTTTCGTAGATATGGTATAGAATTATTAAAAATCAATATTTTTCGATATGAAACTTATAAAAAAGTATTATAAAATGGCAAATATATGAAGCAAGATCACGCAGGAACAAGAAAATGAAAAAAGTAGATTTTTTGAGCGGGTTCTACGCAATCTTGTTTCGCTGGAAAACGAACGAAAAGTAAAAAAGGCAAAGACAACGGCGAAAAAACAAAATTAACCAAAAGTGTTGTCAGCAACTTTAAACATCCAATTTAGATAAAAAATTATTCATAAAAATCTTTTAAAAGATGTTGTCATGTTGAATTAACTCTCCACGAATTTTTTTCTCAAAACCAGTTACAAATACAACGCCGCGTTCTTGCGTGATCTTGTATTTTTGGTTCATGTATATGAAGCTAGTGTACAAGATTTCTTAATAGGGTGTCGTCTGAATAAAACAAAAAATTTTTATTTTTGTTCCTTATTTTTCAAAAATTATATCGAATTGAATTATATTTTTATATATTTTATATTCGAAATATCACCCTGTACTTCCGGTAGTGCATTCCATTGATTTCCGGTCATGCACAAAAAAATTCCAGCAAGTTTGACATTCCATTTTGACCTGACATCCTGGACCGGACCTGATGATTTTGATAAATTAAAAATTTAATATTTATCTTTTGTTGCTAGTTGTTGGTTTGTGTGGAAAGATGGAGTTATTTACTATAAACCGGTAAATTATACATTCCCGGATATAAATAAGTTTTATATTAGGATAATTATATAATTTCAGTTACAATGGCGAAAAAACTGACGAAGCTACAAAAAACGAGGATGCAATTCTGCAGAAGATCCTCCAAAAAGTAGAAAAACGAAAAAGGAAAAAGAGCACAGTCGAGCTGCTAGATGTGGAGTCTAAACGAAATGAAACAAAAGTTCAACCAACTAGTGCTGATGTCAACGAAGCTAAGAACGCAAGCGCCGATGAAACGGTCTCAATTGGCGCTGATGTTGATCCCATTGTCGGCGATGTGCCTGATGTTGAAGCAACTCATTTCCAAGTGCTCGGCGAGGATGTAGACACCAGCAAACCGAAAAAAGTTAATATGGTGCTGCCTGCTTGGCTGGCGCACCCCACTGTCATCTCAACAGCCATAGCCCCGAAAAGTGGACCAGCGGCTGACGAATCGGTTATTACCAAATTAACCTACTTGGCACCGCACATACGCCACGCACTCAAAGAAATGCACATGACACGACTATTTCCTGTGCAAACAGCAGTCGTACCTTGGTTGCTTGAAGCACACGCCAAACCGCCACCATTTCGTCCGCGTGACATATGCGTTTCAGCGCCCACAGGTAGTGGCAAGACTTTAGCATTTGCGATACCGGTCGTGCAGTTATTAGCTGATCGTGTAGAGCGCAAAATAAGAGCTTTGGTTGTACTCCCTGTCTTCGAGTTAGCGTTACAGGTTTTCAAAGTATTCAAGAAATTGTGTGAAAAAACTGATTTAACTGTTTGTTTACTATCCAAAAAGTTTCCATTTGCACAGGAGCAAGAAAAACTTGTGGAATGTTATAAGGGGAAATATTACTCCAAAGTAGATATTTTAGTGACGACGCCAGGCCGCTTGGTTGATCATCTACATGCAACTAAAGGTTTTTGCTTAAAATCTTTACGTTTTCTTGTTATTGACGAAGCTG